GCCACACCAGAGATGGAGGCAGAGAGGAGGACATGGAGAGAGGGAGCAGCTGAGGACTCTAGACTCATGGGAAGAGAGGGACTGAGAGCTGGCAGCCAGGAGGCAGACTTGTAGAATTTGTCCTTTGGTGGTGTAAATTATTATATATGCCTGAGTATTTAAAAAAAAGAAAAAAAGCTAAAATGAATAGCGAGAAATACTGTTACATAAAGGGGATTATAATCATTATAATAAAATAAGGTGTATGATTTGTTGAATGTAAAACTGATCATCTGCCCTGTAAACCTTCACTCAAATCACAATTAAAAAAAAAAAAATGAAAGAAAGAAAAGAAAAGACTTCCAATTACAAGAACAAGCAAGCTGTTCACCGGGGAGCCATCAAGGCAAGCAATCAAGTCCGTTCAGGACAAAACCCCCTCTAAGACTAAAACAAAGGGAACACATGTGCAGGCATGTAAACTTGCTGGCAACTAGATTGGTCTACATGTGAGTGGAAGTGGGGGAAAGGCAGCAATGAAGATATGGGCTGAGTTCAACCACGTTCCACAGACTCCTGTCAACCTCGAGATGAGAGAGAGAAGAGGATGGCAGGTTGGTCCAAAGTTTGGGGAGACTTGGGAACTTCTGGGCCCATGGACACTGACCTAGTCACAGAAGGCTAGAGCTGAGAGGGAAGCATCCAGCTGATATGAAATGGGGGAAGAATCACAAGAGGACCCAAACTTGCAGACAGTACCCATTTGACCTAGTTTCGATGGCTTGATGATCAGAATTCGCCTAGATGAAGATAAAGAAATTTGATAAAGGAAGAAAGAGCAAATTGCTACAATTTGATAAACTTGACCTTTGCTTATGGATGTAGTAGTTCAAAATACCAACCAAGAGGTTAGGTGCCATCAAGTCAGTACCAGCTCATAGCGACCCTATGCACAACAGAACGAAACACTGCCAGGTCCTGAACCAATCTTACAAACACTGCTACATATGAGCCCATTGCTGCTGCCACTGTGCCAATCCATTTCATTGAGGGTCTTCCTCTTTTTCTCTGACCCTCCACTTTACCAAACATGATATCACTCTCCAGTGACTGGTCCCTCCTGACAATATGTCCGAAGTATAAGAGACGAAATCTGGCCATCTTAGCTTCCAAAGAGCAAACTAGCTGTATTTCTTCCAACACAGATTGCTTTGTTCTTTTGGCAGTCCATGGTACTTTCAATATACTCCTCTAACACCATAACTCAAAAGCATCAATTCTTCTTACAGTCTTCCTTATCCACTGTCCAACTTTGGCATGCATATGAGGTTATTGAAAATACCATGGCTTGGGTCAGGCGCACCTTAGTCTTCAAACTGACATCTTCGCTCTTCAACACTTTAAAGAAGTCTTGTGCATGTACCACTCCCCAGAAACCAGTAATCATCACTGGTTTGAATATATTTTGCTTATTCCACATAAGTGGAATGATACACTTTCTAGGGGTGATTGATGAGGGTTTTTTGTTTTTTTTTTGCAACTGACATATTTCGCTCAGCATGATGTTTTCCAGGTTCATCCATGTTATGGCATGTCCCAGGAGTCCATTTCTCTTTATGGTTGTGCATATATTGTTTTAAGACATCAAAGTAGAGTGACCAACCAGTCCTATTTGTCTCTCTGAGGCCTCTAGCACCTATTCTCTGAATCAGTGGTTTAAAGATATAAAGTATCCTCAATTCACATAACCTGCACCTACTTAAAATTTGATACAACCTGGACAGTCCCAGGCAAACCAGGACAACTTGGTCACCCTATGTCAAACTTCTTAGATTCTACCTTTCTAATCTGCTATGCTAAGTTTTGTGATTGTGAAGTCTGAAGGCTCTATGTCCACCACCCCTCTGCCATACTGTGGTGGCTTGTGTGTTGCTGTAATGGCAACATTTGATCCCATTGTACATATATATATAAGGATGCTATGAGTTGATTTGACTCAATGGCAGCTAACCACAAGGTTCTATGTGTATTCTAATTTACATTTAAAGGATTCAAGATCAGAAGGGCCAAAGAGTACAAATTCTCAGGGCTCTGGTAGCATTGTAGGCTAAGCATTGGACTGCTAACCACAAGACAATGAGTTTGAATTTGATCATCATAAGAGGGAGCCCTGGTAGAATAGTGGTTAAGTAATCAGCTACCAACCAAAAGGACAGTGATTCAAATCCACCACCAAGTTAGTCCACATCAGAATGATGTGATCGTCTGTCTCCATTAAGATTTATACCCTTGGGAATAGACACAGGATAGTTTGGGTGCTAGTGAGGGGGGCAATACACAAGAAGGGGGAGGGGAATGGAAGAACAAAGCAGACAGGAAAACAATTAGGCAGGTTTTCATGGGCTAAGTGGGACAAAGGTAAAGAATGATGTATGCACAACTTTGGAACAACAGGGCTCTGGGATACAGGGATTGAGACATGGTTGGAATGGGGGAAAGGGGGGAAATAATGTTAAGATGCTTGGTTGCCTTTGGAATCTTGGTTTCCCTGGCATACTATTACAAAATAGACAGTTAAGGGGGAGAGAAAGGAATAGCCAGAAATATCACCATAGAAAGCTTGTAAGTCATCTTCTGCCTATAACTGATTGGAATACCTAAATGGGGCTACAACGTGCCCAGTGAAAGAGGCTTCCTGTGGAGCCTCGGCATTACATAAGACCATAGGTTGAATCCTGAACCCCACCCAGAATCTTCTGAGGTGGGAAATTTCTACTGGAAAGGACAAGCAGACCAGCCTGGAGCAGCTAGAAGAACAGAAGATACTTCTTGAAAGAAAGACAGACAGGAAAAATACAAAACAATATAGGCAGTCCGACTGATTACTACAAGAACAAGCAAGTTGCTCGCCCAGGAGACATCAAGGCAAGTGGTCAGGTCCCCTCAGGGCAAACCCCCTTCCAAGACTAAGACTCAATGGGAATACACACTCTGATTGGTGACCATGTTTGTCACCGAGAAGGGGAAGTGAGGGAAAAACAGCAATGAATCTGTGAGCTAAGCACTACAACGTTCAACAGACTCCTGTGAACCCGGGTGGAGACCTGGTTGGCCAGCAGTGTGGCAAGACCTGGGGACTCCTGGGCCCAGAGTCAGTAACATAGCCACATAAGACTAGAGTGGAGAGTGAACACCCACACCCACACTTGCTGATAATACCCACTTGACCTGGCTTCAATGACTGGATGATCAGAGTTCAACTAAAAAAAGAAAGAAGCAGAAAAAAAGAGAAATCTGATAGGTACAATTTGATGAACTTGATCTACACCTATGGATGCAGTAGCTCAAAAGAGGAAACAAATCCTTACAGCAAGGATCATTCCCACCCCCTCCATACACAGAGTAGACAGGGATGGG